GTTTCTCTGCCTCTCTCTCTCTCCCTCTGTCTCGCTCTTTCTCTCTCTCTCTCTCTCCCTCCCTCTCTCGCGCTCTCCCTTTGCCTCCACTCTCTACTCATACTCCGAAAAACAGATATGTACACACAATAAATAGACATATTGTTCTGCTCGTGTTTGTTGTTTGTTTGCTGTCTATCTACCTATCTATCTATCATTATCTATCTATCTATCTATCTGTTTACTCCTAGCTATCTATCTCTCTATTTATGCCCTGACCCTTGTCGTCGGACCTGAACCATTTCGGGCCTTTTGGGGTCACTTCGGGCCTCGCTGCTTTCGGCTTTTCAGCCGCTGACCCAAATCTCAAATTCCACCTCCAGTTCGCCTCCCCAGCCTGAGATGGCATAAACTCGTCGGGTTATCTGAATTGAAGGCGTCTAAGGCCCTACTAATCCTACTACTTTTGAACTCGATCTGTCTGTCTATCTATTTGTCTATCTATCCATCTGTCTATTTATCGATCTAGCGATCGATCTATCTATCTGTTTATCTATCTATTATAACCCCATATATATATATATGTGTGTGTGTGTCTATCGGTACGCACAATTCTATCACATGCAGTCATGACAGTTGAGTTGTTCGGTTTTTTGGAGAGACGGCTGTTACTGCAACAGAATCGATTTCTTTCTACAAAGCATGGGTGCATGCCCAAGTGTACACATACAGAGTCACCGATTCTGTGACAGGCGGCAGGCAAAGGGCGCATAGGTAAGTAGGATTAGCAAGGCGAGCTGAGACCAGGGAAACACCACGGAAGCATTGTCAAGTGAAGCTCAAAGACTGTCCGGAGTCAGATCCGAGGTACTCCTGGCCTCGTCTACTGCTTCACACGCAAGGAAGCAGAGCAGTTGCGGCAAGGCTTGGCAGAAGCTGGCGTGCCCTGCGAGTTCTATCATGGAGATCTGGATGCGTCGGCTCGCCAGAGAGTCCACTCCTCTTGGGTGGAGGGCCGCATCAGCGTGGTGGTGGCCACAGTGGCCTTCGGCATGGGTATCAACAAGAGCCTCGCATGATCATACCACCGGTTTCGATTCATGCACTGTCAGAAACTATTCTTATCTGGCCGTGCTTCGACAAACCGAGGAGTGACGTACGGTTCGTGGTCCATGCTGGCTTGCCGGCTTCGCTTCACCATTACTACCAGGAAGCTGGCCGCGCCGGGAGGGACGGCAAGCCTGCTCTTTGCTTGCTGCTCTACCGCCCCAGCGACGTTCCGCGGCACAGCGTCATGACTCTTGCTCATCATTTCCGCATATATATATATACATACATGTACATATTTTTTATTTTTGTGCTAAGTGCTAATTATCTTTGATGGAAGACCCAAGCGCTACGAGAGCCTTCCACCTTGCACGCCCCCGGCCACAGAGGAACTACTACAAGCCGGCATCCTTACGAGAGCTCTACAAGGCTGCAATGTATTGTGGCTTGGACATCACGTGTTTGTGGTTGGTCAGAGGCGAGTCATCCACCGCAATGATGGGAGAACACTTTTCATGGCACGGACAATGCTGTGGCATAACCACAGTTGCAAGTGTGCTTAAGCACAAACTAGCAGAGCACAGATGTCAACAGCCGTCTAAATATTCGGGGGGAGGGGGTGGGCAGTCCGCTAGTTGGTGTGATAATTCGAGCGTTTTATGTTTGCAATGCCTTCAGGTCACCGGAGCGAGTGTCGGCGCATGCAGATCTCGCGTCACTTTGGCGAGGACAGGTTGCAAAAAAGAGTTGCAGAAAGTCTTGATCGATCATGCACCCAGCCAACTTCCGAGTGCTTTGTTCTATGGCCTTTAGACTACCTATGGCCCTTAACTACCCATGCACTGTAGGAGCTGCCACCTTGCGACCGTGGCTGTGACGTTTGCATGGCTGTGGCCCCAGCCCGGTCAGCACGAGACTTTGGGAACAGGGAACCCTGAAGTCAGGAAGATACACACAAGATCATGTGCCTCGGGCTGCATCGAGGCCAAGCACAGTGACATCGGCGAACCTCCGGCTCGGAAGAAGCCGCGGCTGACGCGTCTTGGGCACAGTTTAACCTATCTAAAAGAACGTGCCGCTGCTGGACCTCGATCTCCTCAGTTCGATGAGAACTTGCTTGGGTGCTCTTCGCAACTATCGTGCTTCCCGCATTCTCGATTCTTGAAAACGTGGGGGGAGTTGTTGAAAGTTTGCAACGGCCAGAGCGAGGGCCGAGACGATGCACCTAAGCCGCATGGACGAATGTCTTGCATGACTTATCTTGATGGCCTCCAGCCGCCGTTGAAAGGTAGACACTGTACGGCGAACAGCATGCAGCGTACATCGAAATTCGAGCAGACGTGATGATGATGTTAGGGAAATCAGATGTTGTTGCCGGGGCCGGCGAGCTGCCGCACTGAAGGGAAAAACATGAATCATTTCGTCAGAACGGCGCGCTCGCTGAACTCCACCTGGAAATTCGCAGTAGAGAAATTAGTCATGGCCCTTGCGTGCCCAAGTGTGGAAGTCGACCACTTCACAGCCTCCTCTCGAGATCTCTCGAGATCGCAACTGACCCAACCCTGATTTCCTGCCGCTCTACTCGCTGCTGAGGCCATCGACCCCACCAGAGGCACTGACAAGCGCTTTGCGTGCTGGTGCAGCAGCACGAGGACGGCAATATGCTTGCTTGGGAGATGTTGGGAGTTCAAGATTGCAGGATTCTGACCTTGATAATTCTCAGCTCTTCTTGTGCTTCTGCTGGGGCACAGGGCTTTTCTAAACGCAGGTGTCAATGTCAAGCGAGACTTCTGTATCGATTCGCTGCATGTCTTGCACCAGCTGCATTGCTTTGGCCGCTTCTTCTGCAAAGGCCAGGAAGAGCAACTCACACTGGCAAAGCTTTCGGACAAGGCAGGTGGGTCGGAGATACACTGGTGTAAATGTGATATGCGATGGAACGAAATCAGAAAGCAGGGGGCAAGAAGCTCTTCTAGGTGTTCCACATTGAATCATAGTAAGCCAGTGGCGACCGACTGCTTCAAAGTTGGGGCCGCGAGGCCAACCGACCGATAAGCGTTGCTGGAAGAGTCCAGGGTGGATTGGATCGGGAGCATTTTGATTCGCTCGATGACGGTTGGCGGAGGGAAAACTTCATTCGGCCCAGAACAAGTCAGTATGTCCCATGGCCGGTCAGGTCCAGAAAAGTTGCAAGTGGCGCGGAGAGATGGCGTCTGAGGCAGTCATGTATGTGGCACTGTCCCTGCTTGGAGCTGGCTACTTGAGGGAGGAGTTTCGGCACTCCCCGTATGTGCCTTGGAGGACTAGGAAGTTGCAGTGACATTGGTAAGTTCAACAGCTTGTTGTCCGTTCCCTTGGACGCTCGCTCCTTTTAGGGTTTATAACTCCGTGCCGGGGATAAAAGGCGACGAATGCCTACTTGGTGGCCACCCCGAGCGCTGATCGCATGTTGGCCGGCGAGACGGAGATCTCTGCAGAAGCTCAGGCGCTGAGCTCTCCACCAGAGCTGCTTTTCAGCCCAGTAGCAACTCGGCTTTGAATCGTAAAGATTTTCATGTAGAGACTGTAGTGCGGGCCACGAATTAAATTCTCTCTAAAAGAAGTGGCAATGATCAGCAGTTGAAGATGCATGATCCATGTCTCGGAGTGATATACTTTCCCGATGCGATCCGTCACGAGGATGCTTGTGGCGCATCCTCCGCGGCCAAAGAAGCAGTTGCTCTTCGTGCAGGTCCTGGCGGTGCAGGTGCTGGCATTCGACAGAGCCTGCGGCAACTGCGGGCACTGCTGGGGAAGTGCCCCAACTCATCAGGCTGTAGATGTTCAAAGTCAGGTTCTCGTTTCATGTCTGGCACATACAAGATTTTCCGAGATCCTTCCAAGCTTCGGGCTGTCCCCCAGAATCGGATTTCAGTTGAAGCAGGGTGAGTGGCCGAGGCAGGCTGGGGTGCCGGGGCAGTTCGTGCTCACGGACGTCGCCTGGCAGTTCAAGAAGTTAAGCCCCTGTTGGGATCTGCTGTGGCTTCTCCTGCTTAGGGCACAAGCACACAAGGAGGCGTAGCTTGCATTCTGATGGGTCAGGGATGCCTGGATAGGCCGCACTAGCAACACTCTGCTGACAGATTAAAACGGAAGCCAACTTGCAGCTTTGCAAAAGCCCCGACCGTCCGCACATGTCTGCACCAGACAGTTGATGTTGAAGCCTGGAAGAGCACAGAGATGCCCCCTCAAGACCTGAGGAGGAGATCGCGGGACTGTCGGAGTTGGAGTTGCCTGGTGTGGAGGAGCTCAGCCCACTATCCGCGGTGAAGATCCTTGGCGTCCTAGCATTTGTTCTATGGTGGATCTCGGTTACATAGACCGTAGCAGCACCGCTCTGTTTGGCATGAACGGATGACGCAAAGACACAGCCGCCATATCTTCAGCCTTCAAAAGCCTTCTGCAAGGCGAAGGCTCTACGGCGAGGCCGTCGTAGCGCACCTGAGAGATGCCGGCGGAAAGAAAAGGGCGAGCGGGGATTGACTTTGTTGCAAAGACGGGTGTGCCAGGTCCACAGCAGTTCACGCCTTCTGACATCCTTCTGACAGTGGATCGTAATCAACTTTGGAGATGCAGCTGTGGCCTGTTGCCGTCTGTTGCCACGCCTTTTCTCCCACATTTGAGCAACACCAGGTTTGGCAACGTCAGCGATCCACGAGCTCGCCGACTTTGCTTTGCACCCTGTCGTGCGAAAGGTTGCGCAAACGCGGGTACTCTAAGCTGGGCGGGAATACTGAGACAACTGATAAAGCCTCGACAATCCTCAAGATGTTTGGACAAGTTATTGTTGTGGCACGGCATTTGATTGATATCCTGAGGCAAGTGGTGCCAGGAGACTGGAGATGACCAACAAGGCACCGCTGACAGATGAAATCACTTTCGATCCCTTGCATGTTAGGTCCGGTCTGGACAGTCCTTCGCGGTAGTTGCTTTCTGCTAGAAGATGCATGCAGTGCAAGCCTCGACGAAGCCTGCAACAGGTCTCAGAAATTCCGATGTGCACGTGCATGGCCACACCTGCTGGCCAGACGGGTGCAAAGATACACCTCACAGCTCTCCGGTAAGCCAGTCCGACTTCGAACGTGATGTAAGGAATAGTGCGTCGCAGGTACTCTTGTGCAGCAACTTACCACATATCAGGCGCTACATAGTTTTAAAGTATATTACAGGAAGGAGCATATATCTTAGGAAATTTCACCGCGCGTGCGCAAAGTCTTGCTTCAATGGCAAGCTTTGGCACAGACTTCAGACTTCCAGAAACTTGGCGTGTTCGGTAGCGGGGAGTTCGTAGCCCGGGGTCGTGTACCCAGGCTCTTTGGATGAAACAGCAGAGCTTGTTCGTCATCCGAGCCTTTTGTTTTGGCACTGCAGGCACCACGACCTGCACTGCCAGCCATTTGCCCTCAACTCTTTCGGTGCTGGAATTGAAGCACCTGCCACGTCCCGCGTGCTGAGACAGTAGCTCTCGGGCATTGTGCCTGTCACCTTTACAGACAAGAGGCCAACCTTGACGATGAAAGCGAGTAATTAGTAATTACCTGATAGCTGATAGATGATGCCTAGAACACTTCAAGTGCCCTATAGGACTCATGACTTCGGGTGACCTCTGTCATTCTTGCTGGCAATGCTGCACTGTCAGCAGACAAAGTTTATTGCCCTCACGTCTCAGGGAGCCGTTTTGCAATCATGTCAAGCTTCGCTCAGCTTCCAGCCTGCCAGGCATAATCTGTTGAGCACAGGCTGTCAACAGGCCTGGGGATGACATTGACCATGATCGCAAAACAACGCACCTGCAAGGGTTTCATGACATATTGTTTACGTAGATAGGTCCCCTTCAGGCTCCTCGGAACCACGAGCCTCTATTTGAAGAGGCTTGTGCTTCTGCAGGCCGCTGCTGAGTTCAAAGTGATCACAGCTTAGTCACAGCCCAAGTTCCCAATTGTTGCTTGCACGTGGTCCGCACAGCAGAGGGGGTGCGTCTGGAACCTACAAAGTAGCTCGAAGTGAGGTGTCGTTTCACACATTGGAAGCTTGGCATCCGATGCCTGACTTGTACGGCAAAAAGCAGTGGGGAGCGGGGGTTCATTGCGTGGCAACAGGTGTAGGTGCACGAACGGGAGTGTCTTTGGCACGGCACCGTACCAGATACTTCTTGTCGGCTAGAACATCGGTGCACCTTGTCCATGATGGGTATTGTGGGAGATGCGTGTGGACGCTCGGGCTCCAGATCCCCAGACAGCCGGCTGCAGCGCCTGTCCTGCAGATCTTGCGGCGCGAGGTCTTCGAATTACCTTCGGAGATTCAGTTTCAGCTGGTCAAACACATGTAGGAGAGCCCGCAGGGAGTTTGCAGCCTTATAAGCCATGTAAACTGCACTCCTAAACCGAACCGATTGCCGAGCGTCTCGCAACTTTATGGTCGAGCTGTTTTTGAATCGCTCGTGTTTTGCAGCCCTGTGTCAGGCAGCCTTTGATTTGCCTGACCGGGGGCAGTGCATGGCAAATGGCGGGGTCCTCGGAACCGACTTGCGGGAAGCCCATTTGCCTCTGTGCATCGCCCGAAACTGCAAACAAATCCTAGTCTGGTGTTGCGCTTGTTGACGCTACTAGCTCCCTGGCTCGCAAAGCAAAATCCTTACTCATTGTCGGTGATGTTCTTGCTGTCCTTGTGTTGCTGTTAGTAACACCATTGGGACGATTGTTGCCACTGCTAGCACGATCTTCATACAGCTGATTCGTGCTTTCGGTCATACTATAGCTACACCGAAGTTGTATACGAAGTTAACAACCCTGACTAGGCACCAAATGAACAAGTGCCATCATCGGTTACCGCTACCCCTTTGCTACCCCTTTGGCAGGCCGAGCCTCGAGGAGGCAGCGCCGAGGTGGACTGCAATTACTCGTTCGGGGCCGGCACAGCATGCATGATCTGAAGGCCTTGAAGGCCGTTTAGCTCCAGTTGTGGAACTTATTGGCTTTATGGCTGCTACTTTAATCTCCTACGCAGCATGTGGGGTGGGCAGCCCTTGGCGTGCGAGCAACAACTTATCCCTCTATGATGCGGCAGATCGACGACAGCACTTCCAAGCTGCATGAAGAGCTCTCCAGCCAAGCTCTCAGGAAGAGGCAACGGCATCATTGACTATTCGCCATATCTTTGGGGATTCCTTGCAGGTTTTAGCATGGCGAGTGCACAAAGCCCGGTCGCAAGGCAAGTTTTCCAGACGCTGGCAGCAGAGGAACACTTGATGCTGACCACGAGAGGCAACGAAAACCCAATCCTCCAGACCATCACACGTCCTTGAATCACAGCCCTCTGAGACAGGAGCAGCGGAAATCCATGTGCCAATGATCGAACTGTACGGGCAAGCAGCAATGCTTCGAAGCAGAGCCGATTCGCGAAAAGCAGAATCCCGAGTGCTGAAGCTCGACGTGCCTAAGTACCCCGCGCAGGAATCCTCGGCCGATCCGAAAAGCGTTCCTGTATTTTTTTGGCCGCCCAAGGTGTCGCGCCTGCCGGCAGCCCTGGGTGTCACTGCTTAGAGTTCGACTCCTGGTGGTGCTGGCCTCGGATCTTCTCGGGGCTCGAAGCCAAAAAGCCAAGTGACTGCTCGGCATTCTACCGTGAGAATTTGTACGGCCGAGTCAGCCAGCACGGCCTTGTTAGTTCAATTGACTCTCTGCATTGAAACGGCTGAGAAGTCCCTCGTCCAGTCTTGGTTCTCAAGGTATCTTACTCGACAGCTCACCCACGGACCTCGACTGTTCTCGCTTGTTTTGCCCGAGAGACCATAAAGTGGAAAGCCTTTGTTTACTGTTCTGCCAACGAAAAGGTCACCCCAAAGCATGGAGCTTGAGTCTTGGTATCATCCGCCCTTTGTCCTCTCAGCAACTCCAGGAACGAGGGCAAGCATCGGCGCTTCGTGTATATAAGGCCGGAGTCTCGGACAGAGTAGGCAAGTCTGGGCAGTCCACCGCAAACCTGTGATGCCTGGTATGGATATTATATTCGAAGATCTTCGCCAAGCCGAGAGTGTAGGGCAGGCAGGGCAAGAGGGCTCATTTATCCATCCCAGCCGAACAGCAGGTACAGCATTACCGAAGGAGCTTTTCAGATGGCCATCGACGAGGTTGGGAAGAGTAGCTCAGAGCTTGTGGTCCTGACACCGCCGCCACCTGAACGGACATATCAGTGGGCATATACGAGGCAACTCTTGATTCTGACGCAGAACTCTGCTACCCTTGCCCTTGCCTTTGCGCACGACCATTTGGTGTAGTTGTCGAGATAACAGCCCAGAGACAAGCTTAACTTAGCATCAGACAATATTTGAGGGCCAGTGAGATCTTGTGAGGATAGCAATCTATATCACGTCCCGGTGGCCTATGGTGCACGGACCGGAGAGGCCCTCAAACAGGGTCAGGACTTCGTCCGGAATTGATTGATGGGTTTCTGTTTATACCATTTTTGTTCGATGCACTGGCGTGCGAGCACTTGTGCGGAAGATCAGAGAGTCTGTTGCAGTCAAACGGGGAGAAGCCACAACAGGAGTTGCTACGCCCGGCATTCGTTTAGCGTCAGAAAGGCAGCATGCAGCGGCCGGGGTCACAATCCTTTCTTAAGCCATGCTGGGATATGCTGGGATGATGTACATGACCACTGCGACGTGGGGCGAGGGGAGCTATGATGCTAGTTGTATTTTTTGTATTCGTAAAGACCGCACAATCCATTCTACACAGTGCGTCTGTGGATCCTCAACAAGTCTGCGATGGGTCAACGTGATGTACGTGATAAAGTTCATGGTGCGAGGCGGCTGAAATCTCAGCGAAACACTTCTTTTGTTTGTGACCGATTTGCTCACCGGTAGGACCGGTATAGGAGATGGAGTGTGGTGTAACAGTGTTCATGGAGGCCGCCAGGCCGCAGAAACCCTGGCATTTGCTGTCAGCTTCTGACAGTGACATCGTAAAGAGATGGGCACACTCAAGGGTGCGTGGCCTTTGCTGGATGCGGGGTCATGCGGCCTGATGCTCGGTTGTTTACACTGATGCATCATGCATGCTGCCGGGGCAAATGCTCCCCGAAACACGATGAAACGCAAAACATGCTGTCGAAGCCTTGCCATTCCATGCACTGCATTGTCGGTTGCAGCCGGTGCATGTACATGTCGGAAACCAGGGACGCCGACTATACTCATGATTCATGATGTTGACTTGCCTGCTGCTGCAGGCGGTGACCGTTTGGGATTTGCACGTCGGCGCCGAAGTAGACATC